CAATATACAATGAGCTATCATCCAACTTGCTATTTTTTTGAGAAGTTTTGGAAATGCAAGGTGGAGCAGAAACAAATTATGCCGGGGTGACTGGGAGCAACCAGCTCAACTTCTCACCATGCAACTATTTCCATCCTTCAATGTCATCTATATTCCATTATTGTAATCGCTTTAAAAAAAATCCTACATACCCGTGGCCCTCCTCAGTGTCTGCATAACACACACAAAGACAGCACAGCTCTATTATTGTGATAAGCACTGCAAACACAATCCTCCAGCAAATTTGCAGAGTCAGAAGAAGAACCAGAATTTCTTTGAGGTCAAGTTCCTGAAAGTTGCTGGTGGTGTTCACAGAGCACCTGCAGATGAGGAGTGCCACTTCTGGGCCTGAGAAATGAGTGCTGGATGATGGGATTGTATTGTAATGCAGGCTTGAAAGGATAAGCAGTGTCTGCAGAACTTCCTGGATCTGTGCATCAATCCTCACCTCAGCTTTCCATTGCAGTTAGAGCTCAAATAACAGTGAAGGAGCAAATGGTGATTGCATTGTGGGAACTTGCAAGACCAGCTTGCTTGTGGTCAGTGGGAAGTGATTTCAGAATTGGAAAATTCACTGTGGTAGTCATTGTGATGCAAGTGTGCAGGGCCATGCTATGTAGGATTGTGTCTCTCAGCAATGTGCAAGACATAATGAGTGGATCTGTAGCAATGGAGATTTCCAAATTCACTAGTTCTATCCTATCCCCACAAAAACTAATTCATTTCCTTCCCTCAGATTCATCAATATCCTCCTTCCATTTTCACCACTGATTATTTGTATTATAGCAATCTCTAGAGACTCCAAGAACAGAACAGGGCCATGCTGTGCTAGGTACAGGTAACAAAAAAGAAAATCCCATCTTGAGAGAGTTTGTAGTGGCCACCAACCAGTGGATCGGGATCTACTGGTAGATCTTGGAGCCTCTGACAGGTGATCCTGACTGGTTTGGCCAAGAGGCTATCAAGTGCCGGCACTTCAGTTGCCCCTCCCCCTACTGCTGTGTACTTCCTGCCCTTTGCGTTGGAACTGCATCCCTCCACCCCTGGGAGCCTCCTACTTGCTGTGCAGGGCAGGGGAGGAAGAAGAGGGGCGCTGATGCCTCCTCTCCCACTTTGTATCCTAACTCCACAGAGCAGAGAGAGGCCCAACAGGAGTTAGGATGGAGTTTGCTGACTGCTTTTGGTAGTGGGGCAGGGGCAGAGGGCAAGGGTGAGCCTGTCTTAGCCCCACTGCACTACCACCCAGGAGCCCACATCCTGAAACCCTACCCCAGTCATGAACGCCCTCCTGCACTCCAAACCCCTGCCCAGCCCGAAGCACCCCTATATCCAAACACCCTCCCAGAGCTTGCACCTAGAACTCCCTCCAACACCCCAACTGCCTGCCCCAAGCTCAGCCCAGAACCCCTCTCTCACTCCAAAACCCTTAATCCAAGACCAGAGCCTGCACTCGAACCCCCTGCCCCTGCCTGATGAAAGTGAGGGAGGATGGGAGAGGGAGGGAGTGAGCAGGGGCAGGGCCTCAGAGAGGGGACACAGAGGAGGCGGGGCCAGGGTATTTGAGTTTGAGGTAGATCTTGAATTGTACTTAAATTCAAAAAGTGATCTTGTGCTTAAAAAGTTTGGAGACCACTGGTTTACAGACTACGTTTATAACAGAGTGCAAGAGCAGGATGAAACAGGAAGATGATTGTCAATGGTGCACCTGAGGAGACAAACACAGTAAAACAAGCAAGTTTGTACATAATAAATGAGTCTCTTTATCACTTGCCTTTGGCATAACATACCTCCAAATACAGGAATAGCTTATGCTACTGTATTTCTGCATCTGGCAGTAGATCAGAGCGGCATACATATTTGTTTACATCATTTCACAAACACTTGGCTACTGAAATGTAAATGAAACTGTAAACAATCCTTTTACATTCATTCTCAGGGCTGCTGGAGACTCTATTAAGTATAAATGATGACAATGTTAGCATTTTAATAGATGCTATATCTGCCATAAGTAACACTTCTGGCAAAGCAGGGTGATTTCACAAAGCAACATTGCAATTTTTGAAGAGGAATTCTTCCATGTTACTCCCATCCTTTGGAAGAATGAATTTAACATAACAAAGACCCTGCTGAGCTGAGCTACTGGATCTCAATGTCCCATTAGTTCAATGGCTGAGTAGCCTCTTTGTATTGGTTGGTGACTCTTATAGGCTCAGAAATTATTGGCATTCTGCTCTACTAGGCCCTGGCTACACTACAGAAATGAACTGTGGCTAACTGAAGTGATGGAACATCACTGGTTTAAGCACTAATGGAACAGTGTATCCATACTAACGATGGTATTTTGAGATAAAAACCATGACAGTTTTGGCTGCATCTGCAGCAGTGCTGTTTTACAACTTCGCCATTGCCCTACTTCCTGAGTATGTTTCACAATTCCTAACACAGGCTTCTGGAACTTATTTTTGTGCTGCTTTCACTGGGAACTAATAGCTTGCCTTCTACTATTGCTTAATTGAGTAGGGCAATAAGTACCTGATTTTAGGGAAGGGAATCTCAGTTTTCTAGTCTCTCATCTGAAGTGGGTTGTGCCCAGGAAAGATCATGATACCATCTACATGTTTTGTTAGTCTCTAAGGTGCTGCAGGACTTTTTTTTTTTTTTTTTAAGTTTCATCTGTTGTCAGAATTCTGGGAAGCTGACATAACATAAAAAAAGAGCAGAGACCTAATTCTCCTTCTATGACCAACCCTCTGCTCCTGCATCCCTCTGAAATGAAAAACATTTCTGAATCATTCATAGCCATTGAAAACCTTTTGGGGACAGAACTATTTTGTTCACAGCACACATACCAGAATAAACAAAACAATTCTGAAATACAAAACTGAGATCTTACATCTGAAGTGAAATTGAAATCATTGCACTGGGGCAAGTTTTGAAGTTAAGGTATTAGTAAGGTATTATTCTGTAGAATACTAGCAACAGACATATTCGGCCCTGAGGGCTCCTAAATGGTTGCTCTTCTTTGAAAGCATGATGGCTTTAGGAAACAGTATACATGCCTTTAAAAATATGGTCCAACAAAATGTTTAGAGATGGTTTAGGCATTAATATTAACGTTGGGTAGTTCTGGAAAATTGGGTTGGTTTTGTTTTTAACCACAAATCATACAGCCATCTGCTGTTTCTCCCTAACAGAGATCCATGCAGGATGGAGAATAAACACTGCAATTCAATATCCTACTCTCTAGTACTAACCTTCCCACAAAATACACATTGTATTTCAACCACACATCCCTTAAAACATTAAATTACCTGGGAACATGGTATATTGTATAGAACAGAGCAATTCAACTATTTTATATTTTAAAATTTCTTTTAACTCAGGATCTACATTTCTAAGGCATTTTCTGTCTCTAGAAATGTATCTACGTACACATAAACCCTTTACAAACTATGTGAGGCTGGTGCTGCTAACACTAGGACCTAATTTACTGTTGCCCTACAGCTTATACAGTCAGTTACACCAGTACAAAGAGAACGTAAAACATTATCAACTTGGAATGGTATTTTATGCCTTTCTTGCATTTGTGATTGAGGCCCATGGTTCTTGGGACTACAATGGAGCATATGAATGTGGTAGCATGTATTGTTTGGCAGCATGTGGAGGATCAGATTCTGCTTATACACAGACCTCTCCAGCTCCTTTTGCTATGATGGAAGGCTGCAAACCCCAGCTTTTGGATTATTTGGTTTTATAAGAAAGATCATTATAGTTATTACTTGCATTACATACTAGTATAATTGCATGAAACTCAATTTTCCCAGTATGGAAAGATTAAAGGCAGTGTATACAAGTAGGCTTTGAAACTGCAGAGGGATTTGCTCCAGTATCCTTGCCAAAAAATCACTATCCCACTGTCATTGCTTTATGTCAGTTGCCTAATTGCTGCCTTTTAACAGAGAGGTGGCTACATTTCAATGACGCTATAACCCCCTCTAGAACCCTTCAAAAAGATAACTATAAATTTATTATACATTAAAATCCTTAAAACATTAGATTCAGGTAATTACTTTACCACGTATTTCACTCTCGGCCAATGGTTTATTCCCTGTAATTGCATGAGGGATGTGTGTTAAGTTTTACAAATTACATTCGTGCTAAGCATCTCTTCTCTGAGCTTTCTTCTTTCCAATATCTACTTTTGTCTTTTAACCTTCCAATTGTCTCCTCCACTTCATCCCTTCACATCCATGTCAACTTACCAAACTATACAGTAGTGTCTGATTTACAGCATTCCAAGTTTGAATCTGGGGAAGAATGACTAAAACTAGCAGTTTTCATAGTTTTGGGGCAGAAGAGGCTAGTGTTGATTGAGCCAAAGTGTATATTTATCATTTGCTTTTTTTCTCCTTTCTTTTCTTCATTTTTGTTTTGTGTTTAATATAACCTTTTAGAAAATGTTATAGTTCTTTACTGATTTGGCCACCTGTTTTTGTGTCAATATTTTTTCCTTCTTTGTTCCTATTTCTCTCCATTTCTGGTCCCTTTTGCAATGAATCTTGCTCATCCTCCCATTGTGGGCCCCTTGGAACAAGAGTTGGCAAGATCATTATTATTTGTGCTGGGGCAACCTCTGAGTCAGAATCAGAACGCCAAGGTGCTAGGTTCTGTACGGAAATGGAGAGTCTCCATCCCAATAAGCTCCCAGTTTTGAATTACCTTGAGCTAACTCCCTCTCATGCAAGCAAACTAATCTCACACCTCTCTAACCTTAACGCCCGCCTCCCATCCCCGCCCTTTCCTGCCGCTCACTCAGAAACCTCCCTTTATACTGAACTCCTGATCTAAGGCGCCTCTCAGTGTGACGGACGTAACTCTGCACCAATTAGCAGCCTCTCAGAGGGCTTAAGGCCGACGGGAAGCGTCCCTGCGCCAATAGGAAAGCACAACTGCCTCCAGCAGCAGGCTCCTTTGATCTTTATTAAACTCAGCCCTTTCTTCCTCTTCCCGACCCCTGAATGGACGAAGTCGCAACTAGCCAATGAGAAGTTTCCTTTCGGCTCGATGGACTTTCCTACTCTCCAGTAGGATGTGAGATTCGAGCCACAGCCACCAATGAGGTGTGAGTGATACACTCATGGGCGGGCTCTCCCTCCCAGGCGGGCGGAGAAGGCCGCGGTTATCGATCCCGCTGCTGGAGGGAGGCGGCCGCGAAGCAGCAGAGAAAATGGCGGCCATGGCTGCGGAGGCGGCCGAGACTGCAGCGGTGCCGGGTGACGCGGGAGCGGGCGAAGCCGAGCCCGAGCTGGAGCCCATCCCAGGCAGCGAGGCCGGCGCAGACCCCCTCCCCGCTGTCAGCGAGGCCGTGGAGTCGGCCGTGCCCGATGGGGACGAGGCCGACAGGGCAAAGCTCACTCTGGGGGAGGCCGAGGAGCCGCCTCCGCCCGTAGAGCTCGCCCGAAGCCCGGCGAGGACTCAGGAGCCCCAGCGTGAGAGGACAGACCCGGAGGACGCGGAGCTGGGTTCGCCCCAGGCCGAGCCCAGAGGAGCGCTCAGCCCGGAGCCCGAGGACGCGCCGCAGCCCTGCCCGCCGCCTGCTGGGCACCCTGAACTTCCCGAGGA